CCCTGCTCCATGTGCTTCAGCCAGGCAGGGCCTCACTCTGCTACTCCACACCCATCGCTTCTTTGCCCCCTAGAGACTGTGGGTTGACACATCCTCATCTCCTGGGACACAGGGGCATGTCAACACAGACCCTGGGGCGCAGGACCAACAGTTGGGAGGCAGCGGTGGGCTGTGTCCTAGCACCTGCCTCAGTGGCCAGGCTCAGTCTAGGACCAACCAGGCAGTGTGCAGGCTGGGGAGGGCTCTGAGGAGCCTTCCCCCGGAGAGGGGTATGGGCCCAGACACTGCGTTTGGCATCTGGGGGGCCCTTAGGGCCACGCTGACCTCACTGAACACCTGGTGGGCTGGGCACACTAGGGGGAAGGTCCTCTGGTGCAGAAGGATTGGGGGGGGTGTCTGTACCCATCCTTTGGACCCTGGGCTGGTCCTCAGCCCCGTACCTGGTGACTGGCCTGGGTGCCAGGGCCAGTTCCCAGCTTTGCCTTTTGCAGGGAAGGCCCAGGTCAGGCCCCCCTTTTTTCTCAGCTTCAGTATCCTCCTCCTGCCAGTAGGGGCTGGGCTGGGCCACAGTGTAGACTGTGAAGCCTGGTGACTCAGGGGCCAAGGGTTGTGATAAGAATCAGCCTTTAGAGCAGCCCAAGGCATAGGAAGTGAGCCTGATGGAAAGCCCCTCTGGAAAGGGGAGGCTGAGGGTGGCAAGGAAGGGACAGCAGGTGAGCGTTGTGGCCATCTGAGCCTCCCCAGGAGCGCTCAGAATGTGGCACCCCTGCAGCAAGGCCGGTCTTGTCCATGGGGGCCTTGCCACGCTGCCCTCCCACCCAGGATGCCCCCTTCGTGCTCCTTGATAGCTGGGCTCCAGATGAAGACCCTCCTCCTGGCTCAGGCTCCTCACCCCAGGCCTGGGCAAAGCCAGCTCAGAAGCCAACTGTTGATGGACCCCACCCCAAGGTGGACACAGCCACCGAGGGACCTGGTCAGGCAGGCCTGTCACTTGATTATGTCTCAGCACTCCCCTTCCCAGTCCTGGCTCTCAGAGCAGAGCACTCCCAGAACCACTAGTGGTCAAGCGAGGTGAAGCCTCTATTACCTGAGCAGGCTTCTCAACACATGACCCAGAAGGCCAGAGTGGGCAGGGCCTGGCTCAGAACCAGTTCTTGGCAAATGGCCCATACCAGAACCTGAACCCTTGACCTTGGTGTTACCAACTCCTCGCTCTAACCAACTGACATAATCAGCCAGCCCTGGGACCAGTTTTTTCTGAGGCAGTAAAGCTCAGAAGGCCTCTCACCTGGACCCCCAGGGCCCTAGCCCACCCCCCTCACCTGGGTCACAGCCCCTGGATCTGGCTGGCAAGCATGCTCCCCTCTGGCCCCCCACCACTTTCCCTGGGCTGAGCCAGGCCAGGCTGAGGAGACTTGGGACCTGTGGCCCTGCAGAGAAAAGGCTGCTTCTAGGGCTCAGAGCTATACCAGGGCTACAGTGACCTCCTGCTGCTCTCCTGGGCCACTTGTCTTTCCACCTGCAATTCTTCCTTTGCCTCATGGTTATTTTTCATTTATGTTGGCCTGTTGTACTAAAACACTCCTGTAAGCTGCGTTTATTCTTTAGAGATGAGGTAGGGTTTAATACACACTCCCCTATGTCTGCCTGTGCTCACCAGTTCCACAGAACCTTCAACCACAGTCCAGACAACCTCCCTCTTCCTGGTTTCAGAGCCTTTAACAAGTGAGTTGAATTCTCCTTGAAATCACAGTCAAACGAGAGCAGTCTAAGAACTGCGCTCTACCTGAGGACAACACCTAGGGATGGTAAGGACGCTGGAGGGCACTTGTATTCATTTGCTGTTTGAGTGGAGAACAGACCTCCCTGTGGGGCAGTCTGACAGCATCCGGCATCACTTACAGCTTTCATACCTGCACGGTAAGGACGCTGGAGGGCACTTGTATTCATTTGCTGTTTGAGTGGAGCACAGACCTCCCTGTGGGGCAGTCTGACAGCATCCGGCATCACTTACAGCTTTCATACCTGCAACTGGAGGTTCCTGGCTAGGAGTGATGCTCCAGTAAGGTTTCAACTGCAGCGCTGCTGATGCTTGGGCTGGGGAATTCTGTGCTGTGGGTGTCCCGTGTGCTGCAGGATGTCTAACTGCATCTCCGGCCTTCAACCACTACATGCCAGAAATCCTCCACCCCCATCCCGCTGTGATAATAAAAATCATCTCTAGACATTGACAAATGGCCCTTGGGGGGAGAAATCACCCCCTTCCCCTTTGAGTACCACTGTACAGAAATAATTAAGAGATACAATTACTTAGAATAGGGAAAAACTGGTAAGGACTGTGAGGCAACAGTAAACGGCTGGCTAAAATCCCACCCCTCCTGTGGGGTCCCATGCAGACATTGACAACCATGTGAAGAATTTAATGAGATGGTGACATGCTGAAAAAAGCTGAAGTGTAAGAGCAGGTTATAAAACAGCTTGTACTCTGAGATCCCACACAGAATATGTATGGAAAAAACCCCAAAGAACAGTAGTCAGCTGTGGGTGGTGGGGTAACAGGTGATTTCCTTCTTTATAACTTTATTTTTCAAATTTTCTACAGTGAACATGTATTACTTATATAAGCTAAATTTTAAAAACTTTTTTTAATAAAACATTCTAATGTGTCACAGTCCATGGGGGTCCATTGAGGCAGCAGCAGGACTTCACTGCCACTACACCTCAAGGCCCGCCATGGATGGGGAAACTGAGGCTCAGAGAGAAAAAAGTGGACCAGGGTCATCAATGAGACTCTGAGCTGCAAGTCCTGGGCTCCTTCCACTGCTCTTTGACTTTTTAAGAACAGTCTAGACCTGCCACAGTGGCACCTGCTTCTCAGCAGGAGCTCACAAGGTGCACCTGCCTGGGGGAGTGGCTCCTATGCTTCATTTCTATTCTTGAGCCAGCCTGGCACTCACATAGATTCAAAGTTAATCCCCTTTTTTTTTTTTTTTTTTGTCTTTTTTTGTGGCCGGCCGCACCGCACTCAGCCAGTGAGTGCACCGGGGCCATCCCTATATAGGATCTGAACCCGCGGTGGGAGCGCCACAGTCGCACCCTCCT